AAAAGACCCCGGTGCCAACCCCTCCTGAATCGGCTGCTGGTTCAAGCACACAGCAGTTCGTAGGGCAGAAGCGAAAGGCATCATCGTCTTCAACAGCGCAATGATGAGAGCGACGGTAAGTGATGTTGTACAAGGTTTTACGGCGGCTTACGCCGCCACGCCCACTGTGAGCGCTTCCCAAGATGAATGGGAAGTAAGTGTGTGTATACGCTTGTGTGGTGTAGGCAGGATTTAGATGGTGTGTGATGCCAGAAGGAATGTCAGGGGGCAACGCCCGCCGTATTGTTCCTAGTTCGCGGTCATTATTCATGCTAATACCAACGGCTGCAGTAACCATCCATGACTGCCAACACCACATGAAGCCATGCGAGCACCCATGAACATGCGCTAGGTCTCCCACTAGTCAAATCCGTTACGACACCTGCGAATACCAATGCCAGCACTCATGAACATGCGCTTGCGTCGCCCAGAAGAATCCGACACACGACACCCACGAATGGCAACTGTCGCTGCAGTAACTAATGCCATAGCCCGCGAACGCGCTACCCACAAGTTTTTCCGACACGACACCTCCATGTAAACCCGACACGACGAATTCGCACTAGAGAGCAAAAGAACCAATACGCCCAATCCTCAACGCTACAGGAAGCGCACGCCCAGTACTGTCTTCGGTACACGAACCGCTACACTCTACGTAATGTGTGGAGCTATCGCGAAAGCCCTTTGGCTTCAATCCAGCCGCCATCAGCGCACTGGTTGGGGTGTCGTGACATGGTCTGTTCATCGTCGTGGTTGTCGTCCTCTTGAAGTTGTCCTTCGTCGCTGTTGGGGACCTGGTCGTTCGTCGCATGTGTGAATCCAATGAAGTCGATATATTGCGGTGGTAGAGGCGGTGAGTCAGTGATGGTGTCAGTTGCAGCGTTAACGAAAGCTGGAAAGGTAATGTTGGCAACAAATGCGGTACGGTTTAGGGAACCACGCAACCTCGCGGGTAATGTGAGGCACATAATCGACGATCGCTTCTGCGCCCTGCTGAGTGCTACGTAGAGTTGCCCATGCGTGAAANATGTTGGCAACAAATGCGGTACGGTTTAGGGAACCACGCAACCTCGCGGGTAATGTGAGGCACATAATCGACGATCTCTTCTGCGCCCTGCTGAGTGCTACGTAGAGTTGCCCATGGGTGAAAACGTGACCGCAAGTCAAGCCCGATTTTGGGCACAGTTTGACCTTGACTCTTGTTGATCGTGAGGGCATAGCAAACGCGAAGCGGCAGCTGCAACCTCGAGAAAGCGATCCCGTTCCGCCCAACTTTTGCATTAAGACGTATACGCGGTATCAGAACTAGAGAGGACAGTCCATCAAGGAGTTCTACATGCACAATCCGTGTTGAGTAACCACGCACTATAGCCTTTTGACCGTTGACCAAACCCTGCTTGAAATTGAGGTTCCGTGTTATCATGACCATGCAGTTTAACTTCAACTCCAATGCATGTGGCGGCACGCCTGAAACGTCGATTGCGTTGAGATCAGCCGTAGCAACGAAGTCAAGGTTATTATCGTGAGGGTCAACTGTGTCACAGCTATATGCCGTTAGCATGTCCCCGGGCAGAATGTCAAGCACGTGGGAGTTGATTAAGTCAATTGTGGCATTTGTCGACGACAAAATTGCGCTCGCCTTGAAGTCGGTAGGGTCGGCGGTGAGAATATCTTGGTAAAAAAGTCAATTAGTTCTTCGAATGAGTCCGTGTTGTCGATGACAAACTGATCTTTCGGGCTGTCCGGAACTTCATGAATATATGCTAACGGCACTGCATCGATACCGTCGTCTGTTGTTGTGTGGGCTTGTGTTCCAATACCGACATTTCGAACAAAAGCAGCGTACGTACGCGGCGTCTTCTCGATCACGCTGTGAAATTGTTAGTCGCATGCGTTGTACATGAGGCCAAAGCGGGCTGGATATGAGCGACGCATCAATAGTCTCAGCTGGTCCACCATGCTTGACAACAGGACCTATTTGACGTAGATCGCCGCTGAGGAGTACGGTTTTTCCTCCCATTATGTTGTCATTACCCAATAGGTCTGCTTGCAGTGTAAGGTTGAGCGCTTCAACGGAAAAACGGTGACTCATTGGAATCTCATCCCAAACAATAAGGTCGCATTTACGTAGCACTTCCGCTCGTTGTGATTCTGCAGAGATATTACACATTGCTCCACTGACGTTTTTCTCTTCCAGCGGAAGCTTAAACATAGAGTGCGCTGTCCATCCTCCTGGCAATTGAAGTCCGGCAATTCCGGTACTGGCTACACACAAAACTAATTTGCTCATGGACCTGAGACGGGCGCACAGTATGCTCTCCGTGTACGTCTTGCCAGTGCCAGCTGGCGCATCAATCATGAATAGGTTCGAGGCGCCTGATGTTACGCTTGANTGTTTTTCTGTTCCAGCGGAAGCTTGAACATAGAGTGCGCTGTCCATCCTCCTGGCAATTGAAGTCCGGCAATTCCGGTACTGGATACACACAAAACTAATTTGCTCATGGACCTGAGACGGGCGCACAGTATGCTCTCCGTGTACGTCTTGCCAGTGCCAGCTGGCGCATCAATCATGAATAGGTTCGAGGCGCCTGATGTTACGCTTGAAACGACGGTATCGTACACATGCCGTTGCTCGTGGGTGAGATTTGCCAAGTGCTCGTCAACGAATGCACTCATCTGAGCTGGGTCGAACATGTGTTTAAATCGTATGTATTCGGTATCTAGGTGGATTACCGCCGGCAGCCCAACGACCTCATTCGTTCGTCCGTGGTGCTGCAAAACGAGATCAATTTGGCGGAGTGCGGTGTTGTTGGCATCCCGATCAGACATGTTTATTCGCAAATCTTCGGTGAAGTCCTGGTTGAACTGCTCCCACAATATTTTGGCCGGAGCGCCGTCAAGAATAAGGGTAACGAATAGTTCACGCAGTTGTCTACCCGTGTTAAATATGACCGCCTCCTGTAAGCAAATTCTGTACTCGTCGTCGTGCTTTATAATTCCCATTGCTCTGGCGGCGTCCTGAAACGTGTCGTAGACGGTGTCATCGTGCGTTCTCAACTGTTCGAAAGATCTTGCTGGTTTATGGTGTAGAAGCAGGCGCAAGTAGAAAACATCACCTTTGTCCGGGGACATGGCGGACACACGCGCAACATGTTTATCGGACGACCGCGGTGTGACATAGTTGCGGAATTTGTCTCTGAAAAACGTCCCCTGACGGGCCTTGTCTTTCTTGACGATGTACTGTTCATTGTAGTCCAAGTAGGTAAGCGAATAAAATGTTTGGTCAGAAGGCCTCCCTAAGTAAAGAAGTAGATCGGACGTGGACGCCCGTGCCGCCANAACGCACGCGCAACATGTTTATCGGACGACCGCGGTGTGACATAGTTGCGGAATTTGTCTCTGAAAAACGTCCCCTGACGGGCCTTGTCTTTCTTGACGATGTACTGTTCATTGTAGTCCAAGTAGGTAAGCGAATCAAATGTTTGGTCAGTAGGCCTCCCTAAGTAAAGAAGTAGATCGGACGTGGACGCCCGTGCCGCCACCTTTTGCTCAGCGCGTGAAAGAGATTCGTCTACAACAATTTGCTGTTCGTTGGGAAGGTGCAGTCGGAGAGAACTGACGGACGGGTTACGTTCGATGACATGGAAACCCAGCAACCGCCACGCAGCCTCTGCAGCTGATATGTAACGAGCTGAGCGGTATGCCTCGATCTCGTCGCCGTCACATAGAATCTTCGCCTTAATAAAATCAGCACCTTTGTTTATATACTTGTATATGTATTTGACTATCGCGCTACCGGTGCACACGTCGAAACACATGTGGCAGTTGTATTTGGAAAGGAGCCATATAGTGTACGGGGCGATCCATTGGTTCGTAGCGAAAGATTCTACATACTTGCCGTTAACTTTGTGCTTGTACGGAAATTTTTCTCCTGTGTCGCGTCGACGGTATTCCGCTCTCCCGTTTTTACTGTTGACTACAGCAGCTTTACGCCATGGTTGAGGATATCTCTTGCCGCAAACTTTAACTCCAGTACGATTGCGATCATCCTGCATGCAAGGTGATGAAATGTTCTTAGACCCGCACTGTTTATGCACCATACAGTTTAGTACTTGCNGTCTCTTGCCGCAAACTTTACTCCAGTACGATTGCAATCATCCTGCATGCAAGGTGATGAAATGTTCTTAGACCCGCACTGTTTATGCACCATACAGTTTAGTACTTGCTCTCTGGCCCTACCACCGTTAAGGTCTGCGGGAGGAACTTCTGCCCAACACCACTCATCCATCTCGCCTGCCTCGTCGGGTAGGGGCCCTTCAAATTTAATAACCAAATGCAGATGGGGGAGTCCGCGCTTTTGCCATTCGATGCAAGACATTTCGAAAACAACGGGCCCAAAGATTCGCCCACTCCGTAAGTCTTTCATCAGCTCGTCCTTCTTGATTTTAAACACTCTATCGCACAAATCTGGTCTGTCAAATGCTGTCTGTCCTGAGAGAAGATTAGCCTGAATGGCTTCCTAATTCCCGTTGCACGTCATGGTGAGCATTACGCTCGGGCGCCCTTTCCTGGCAACTACGGCTAGCGCGTCAACGGTATTGGCTTTCATTTTTGCCGGATGACCGTGGAAACCTTTCGGCAATACTNATCTGTCCTGAGAGAAGATTAGCCTGAATAGCTTCCCAATTCCCGTTGCACGTCATGGTGAGCATTACGCTCGGGCGCCCTTTCCTGGCAACTACGGCTAGCGCGTCAACGGTATTG